CCCATGATGACACAAGGAGAACCTGCAAGCTCCACACTCACGGAACCCTGGCCCCAGAGGTGTGAGGTGGCGGTGCTCACTGCACCTGAGTGAAACCCCATGATGACACAAGGAGAACCTGCAAGCTCCACACACACGGAACCCTGGCCCCAGAGGTGTGAGGTGGCGGTGCTCACTGCACCTGAGTGAAACCCCATGATGACACAAGGAGAACCTGCAAGCTCCACACTCACGGAACCCTGGCCCCAGAGGTGTGAGGCGGCGGTGCTCACTGCACCTGGATGAAACTCCATGATGACTTAAGGAGAACTTGCAAGCTCCACACTCACGGAACCCTGGCCCCAGATGTGTGAGGCGGCGGTGCTCACTGCACCAACCCTTTATTTCATGTTTGGCCTTTAGATACTTGTTCCTAATTATATGTCTAATTCAGTGTTTTGTGAGTATCCTTTTTTTGTTTTGCACTGTCTAATTTTGTTACATCTTACTGACTGTATGGTGTTGGCAACAATTCCTATGTGATGAAGTAGAAAAGGCTGATAAAAAATCTTGTATCTTGAAGGTTTATGTCCATATGCACCAGTCAGGTCGGTGCCATTTGAAAAGGTGGCTGGCAGGGGGCGCTGTGGCCCTGTTGGGACATGATGGACCAGTATCAGAGCATTTGTGGGTGTTAGCTGAGGCAGGGCAAGTGATGCGAGAGACGGGGGGAGGGGGGGGAGGAACTGTTACCCAAAAAAAAAAAAAAACGAAAAACAAGCGAGTCATGCCAGTGCAGCCATGGATCTGCGCTCGGAGCTGCTGAAGTCCATCTGGTATGCATTTACGGCTCTGGATGTGGAGAAGAGCGGAAAGGTGTCCAAGTCACAGCTGAAGGTGGGGGCCGGAACCGTTTGCTGGAAAGAAGGGTGTTTTCAGGGAGGGAGGGGGGCAAAAGAAGTTCTTCTCTTGAGACCCAGTGAAGCTGTTACTTTCCCTGTGGGATGGCCTTTTCTCACAGTTTGACCTGTGACTAGCAGGGCTTGAAGAATCAGCTTTATTCTAGCCCATATTTTGTTTTGCAGGTCAGTAGCCAAGGCTGCAGAATTTATTAGCTTTTGTCTTTCATGTCGCTCCATTTCCTGGTTGAGCAAGTCGTACCCGCCTCATGCTTCTCTGTCTCCTGCAAACTGCCCCTTTGTGCAGAAAATAATCACCCCAAAACAGCGACACACTAACTCCCCGTAATTTGTTATCTTTTCAAGGCCAGAGTTTGCCTGGGACTTTAGTTTACGATGCAGTAGATTGAAGTCATTTTTGCAATTGAGAAGACTTCCGACTTGTAAGATCTGTTAGATTACGACAGAAGACTGCTTAGGTTTTGCTGGATACACAGTCCATAAAGTGATTTCAGCATGGTGGGCATGTACTACTGGACTCTGTTTCTGACAGCATTTCCCGTTAGAAACATTCTTGGAGAAGCCTGGTCATGGATTTTAGGAAATGGCTAAGCTGTGCCTGCCAAGGAGCTGTCCAGACTTAGTGCAGCTTAGAAGCGGCCAGAACAGGGCAGCAGTGTGGATATGCAGTGAGGCCTTCAGGCCATGGTTCTGTACCATTAATGCTGATAAGTTAAATAAGTGTGAGTGTGCGGTTCTGTACCATTAATGCTGATAAGCTAAATAAGTGTGAGTGTGTGGTTCTGTACCATTAATGCTGATAAGTTAAATAAGTGTGAGTGTGTGGTTCTGTACCATTAATGCTGATAAGCTAAATAAAGTGTGAGTGTGTGGTTCGTACCATTAATGCTGATAAGCTAAATAAGTGTGAGTGTGTGGTTCTGTACCATTAATGCTGATAAGCTAAATAAGTGTGAGTGTGTGGTTCTGTACCATTAATGCTGATAAGCTAAATAAGTGTGAGGCAGAACCCTCGGTTGCATGTGCCACTGTGTTGTGTTCAGCATGATGGATATTCAGTCATCAGTGTGACAGTGAGATCCTGTGGATGCCATTTTGAGGTTTTTGCCGATGCAGTGGAGGGGGCTTCACTGAGCCACTGGCTTATAGCGCTTTTTATCGATCTGTTTACTGAAATGTATATCTGGATTGGTGTTACTTGGTCCAATTGTATCATGACCAACTTTTTGCCAGTAAAAAAATCACACAAATCGAACTTATTCTGTTTCTGATTCACATTGCTTTATCTCCAAGGGGAAATTTTTGTGTTTCAGTAGCCATGACAGGAACACACCGACGCAGGGTAGACATAAGTGCAGACATAACACAGAATCTGCGGTTTCTGCCGCTGACCTTGGTCCCGGTCAGCTCTAGGCTCCTCTGGGCTCGTGGTCGGGCTAATTCCCATCACGTTGTGCAGCTCTCCCTAACACCCCCGCACCTCCCACCTTCTAAGAATGCAATTTCAGATCGCGATGATGTGGTCAGTATTTGCTGAGAGATCGGTGGTAGACAGTTAACGTTTTCTCATGTCAGACACTAAAAAAACTCATCACTTCTGTCCTGTGTTCTGTAGCTCAAGGAGAAAGTCAGTGCTAACGTAATACCACTAGCATATGATAATGTATCAGCTAAACTGTAATATTGCCAATGTAACAGCACTAACGTAACAGCAGTAATGTAACAGCACTAACATAACAGTCTTTGACACACCACAGCACACAGTGCACAATATGCCTAAGCCCAGTATTGAGTGCTACATATAGGTCACGTATATGAAACTGCTTTCTTTATCAGCTATTAATTTAAAAAATGTTAAATAGACCATGAATTACTAGACTCCAAGTACATTTCTGTCCATTGGCATTCTGTGGCCTGATAATTATCCCATGTATAGCTCTGATTATGAGGGTAACCTTATTGCCCGTTATTCAAACGTGTGTGTAGTGTTGATTTCAAATTTTGAAACACAGCTATGAAAACAGCAGTGAGAGGCTGTCAGGTCTGAGGAATGAGTAAATGCTTCGTGAGAGCCGCCCGCCTTGATCTTCACCAAATGTCGTACAGGAAAAGCTGTGTGCTGATAAGCTTCTTACCGCATGTAGGTTCTGTCGCTCAGCAACAATGATCACTCTGTTTCTCAGGCTATGAAAATGACAGCCGTACACCAAGGGCCCTTTAAGAAACACACCAGCTTTATGCCGCAAAACCCCAGCTATGTAAGCAAGGGGCAAATTCCACATGTAGGGAAACGTAGTGCTGTGTGGCTTGGTGTTTGTTCATCTAAAACCTGAATGCTTTATGTAGGGATGAATAATAATTCAAGATATGTTACTTCATGGAATGTGTACAGAGCTGTCATTTAGTTTTTCTAGGGAGATAAATGTATAAAATGTTTCCTGTTTTGAAACAGAAATTTATGATAATTGATTTTTAGATGTATGTCGGACAGGATGCTAATTACACAGAAACTTGAACTTGAAGCACCTCAAACACCTAAATAACCTTTTGCCACAGTAAAATTGTCAAGCATATGTTTTTATTTGTTTTCAGAATCAGTTCCTGGTCTTTGGGGATCTTTCATGCTCGTAAATGGATGGAGGGATGAATAGCTCAGTCTGATACTATGTACTCTGCTGTAAGCACTTCACAGTGAGAGTGGCAGACCTGGTTTCTTGAGGTGACCTCATTTTCCACAGTTTCCTGGTTTGCAGTGCTCAGTCTTTCTTAATTGGTTAGCTTTGCTGAAACTGTGGCCTGAGTGAAAAAGAACACTGAGCTGTCATGCAGAAACAGAAAAGTACTCAAAGGAAAGGTATATATCAGCTTCGTGAATCTGGACAGAAGGGTCGAGTTTTCAGTATATGTATTTAGTATATAGAACACTGGCTGAACTAACATTGCCCATATTTCATAAATATATGTGATCTGAACAGTGCAGCACCCCATAATATAATACAAGGACTCGCCACACAGTCCTTTAATTATGCAAAAGGACATATAACCGAGGGTGGTGTGGGCGTGCAGTGGTGCAGTGGCGCAGTGGGTAGCACTGTCGCCTGACACTTCTGGGACCAGGAGTCTCCACCATGGCTCCATGTGTGTGGAGTTTGCATGTTCTCCCCGTGTCGTTGTGGGGTTTCCTCTGGTTACTGCAGTTTCCCCCCATAGTCCAAAGACATGGTGAGGTTAATTGGAGATACTAAATTACCCAGAGGTAACCCATAGGTTGGCACCCCATCCTGGGATGTTCCCTGCCTTGCACCCATAGCCACCCATAGCACCCATCTTGGATAGGCTCCGGACCCCCTGTGACCCTGAATAGGGCAAGCAGTTACTGAAAATGGATGGATGTCTTTTTGAATTACAAACTACTATCTCAGATGGACATCAGCACACGATCTATTGGCATTCATGTGCAATAATCAGCTTGAATATAACTGTAGGGCCGCAGGTGGTATAGTATTTAAGAACCAGAACTTATAAGTAAAATACTGCAGAGTCATTCCTGATTAATGGACTTGGCCAGAATTGCTCTAATACATCATGTAGTTAAAACTGGATGACCAGATGAAAATGAATAAAAACATTGGACTTTGGGTTCTGTTTGAACACTAACTTATTAAAGTGTGCTCTCCCTGTTGGTATATTCCCCACGTGCCTCCCTCATAGGTGCTGTCCCACAACCTCTGCACTGTCCTTAGCATCCCACATGACCCAGTGGCGCTTGAGGAGCACTTCAGGGAGGATGATGATGGGCCTGTGTCCAGCCAAGGCTACATGCCTTACCTCAACAAATACATCCTGGATAAGGTACGTGTGTCTCCCTCCACCTGATACATTTCTTAGCTCACAGTTAGATTCTTAGTAAGGTAACAACGTTCATCTCACCCACTCAATGGCACCAGGTGCAAGATGGAGCTTTTGTGAAGGAGAACTTCGATGAACTGTGCTGGACCCTCACAGCAAAGAAGAACTATCGTCCAGAGAAAAACAAGAAGATCATCCTGCAACAAAAAGATGCCTTCCGCCTCTGGTGCCTATTCAACTTCCTGTCGGAGGACAAGTATCCCCTAGTCATGGTGCCTGATGAGGTGGGTTCCTGACCCACGGCGTGGGGGCCCTCAGATGGACCTCTGCCAAGCCGTGTCTCCTGAGCCAGTATATTGACATCTACACCAATGGGTGTTAAGGATGTTGATTTGAGTGCTCTGTTTTTTTACTTGTAAGTTAAAAATGTGTTTCTGTGAAGCTGGAGTTAAAAATCTCATTTGTAATTTTATTGTTTCCCCCAACAATTTGAAAATTTACTTAATGGTTATCTTTGTAAAGGAAACTTTACAAGCTTTAAGAAAGTCAGTCATGCTAGGGGTATGACTTAGAATTTGCTGGTGTTGGTTTTCTTCAGAAATTTTCTTTGTCTTGTGTTTTTTTGGCAAATGTGCCTTTGGTGTGTGATTAAATGATTCGAAGTGTTAGATGTAACAGGGGGCCATCTTTGTTTCTCTAACATGGGGTGTTATGGGAACGTTTGATATGTTAGCAAACTGTAATCGAGCTGGTATTGCTCAAATGTGACCTCAAGGGTATTATATAATACGCTCAACACTGTTGTCGGCCAGAAAACCAATAACAGTCTCCTCAGATCAAAGCGGAAACTACTTGTAGTGTCACCTTCGCAGAAAGTCAGTTTTATGGGACTGTTTTGACTGTTGTGACTGTTTTTGCTTTAACACCCCAAGAGTTATCGCAAATGTTTGTGTAAAACCCAGCTTTACACAAATCATTGCATAAGAATGTTTTTAACCCACAGTTAGCAAGACTTCAAGTTAGCAGTTAGCAAGACATCAGTTAGAGAGACTTCAGTTAGCAAGACTTATTATTTATAGGTATAAGCTTTATACTAATCTGCAAGGAATATATTTCATATACAAACTAGCTATGCTGTTCTAAACAGATGAGAGTATTGATTAAAATGTCTGATAATACAGCCAGAGGATTTATTAAATGATATTAAATTCAGAGCCTATACCTATCATTTTGTCAAATTTTAACTATATTTCTTTCTGTCTTCATTTCTGTCTGATTTATGGTAGAAATTTAAGACTTATTGTGGAATAAATTCATTTTCTAGATTGCAAAATAGTAAGATGGAGATGTGGTATGGAAGTAAATCTGTGTCATCAGAATTTGAATTTTATATGCCACTGAAATTCTAACATTGAATGTTTATGCATTGGAAATATGCATCGGAAATTCGATGGTCCGAATTCACATGCAAAAATACGAGGTTAAAAATACAAAGACAACATTTCAAAGTTGCTCCAATTTGATGGTCCAAATTCACATGGAAAAATACGAGGTTAAAAAATACGAGTTATACATCCGGGATACCAAGGCTAAGCAATCGAATCTGTGGCTGCGTTCGACTTCATGCAGCCACTTACAACACAACAGCAATGCATTCCGGTCCTGACGTTTGTATCCCAGGCAGTTCCGAGGCGTTATCTGCTATTTCTCCCGAATATCACGTAAAGCAGTTATAACTGATTTTCAGTTAATTTACCTGGTAAAATAAAGTTTAAGTAAATGACATGAATGCTCTAAAAGTACACTTAAGTTAGTGGTTTATTTATTGTTAGTTATTGTAATGTTGCGCTGCTTTATTTCTTTAATCGTCCAGTCTGTTAAGAAGGCATTCACGTAAGAATTGCATTTTATTCAGTACAAACTTTCATTCCTTGAAATACATGTATTTGATCTTTTTTCTGGCAGCTATCTTTTTACACAGGGCCACTATATACAATAGTTTACTTTTTTCCACCGCTAACAGTTTGGATCAGGAGTTGGTTATTGGAAAAGAAGTAATGTGCATGCAGGTGATATTTGTATAGATTTATCTACACCCTTCTGGCAGTGCGGCCATTGCAGTCAGATCTCGCACACTATGAGGAGTAGAAGTTGTCCGACTTGGCTGCAGTCAGTTTATACTCCACCCCTGCAGCCACAGCCAAATGCTCTTGTCACGTCACCTGCAGACAGACCTAAGCCCAAGTCGAACGCAGCCACAGATTCGATTGCTTAGCATTGGTATCCCGGATGTATAACTTGTATTTTTAACCTCGTATTTTGCATGTGAATTCAGACCGTTGAATTGGAGCAACTTTGAAATGTTGTCTTTGTATTTTTTAACCTCGTATTTTTGCATGTGAATTTGGACCATCGAATTGGAGCAACTTTGAAATGTTGTCTTTGTATTTTTAACCTCGTATTTTTGCATGTGAATTCGGACCATCGAATTTCCAATGCATATTTCCAATGCATAAATATTCAATGTTAGAATTTCAGTGGCATATAAAATTCAAATTGTGATGACACAGATTTACTTCCATAGATGTGAGTGACACTTCCAGACTGAACATCTAGACTGACTGCTGTCTTGCATGCATTTTGCTGGTTTCCTGGGTGGGGTTGGGTTTGCATAATAGCTGGTAGCAGCAGCAAGTCAGGGATGGTTCTCCATGTTCTGCCTTGGAATGTTCTCAGCTCAGACAAAGAAGAATATGTGGCAGTTAAAGAAAGGCCTCTGTGTCAGCGAATGAGAATGGAGCCTTACACATAGGGAACGTGCTTTCTCCCAGTTTCTGGACAAATGCTGCCCTCAGGAACATTCTCAGTGTAGGAGAATGCATATCTGCCAAGCATCAGAACCAACCCCAGAAAAGAGAATCTGTGACACTCTCACAAAGAATAGCACGTTTCCTCTGATGTATGCTCTGTCAGCCGCCCGCAGATTTTCATTCTGTGGGCCGTGGGGTTTTCCCAGCCTCACATGCTTGGGGCGGGGGGTAAGGGGGAGACCAGCCACTCATAGTGAGCACAAGCCATTTGGATTTAATGGGGCTTCTTGATGCAGTGCACAGCATAGCTCACTTTGGCCAGGGTGTCAGTGCTGAAGTCCCAATAGAACAATCTTTTATGAGTCAGTGAATAACAGTAGTCAAGAAACTTTCTTTGAAAAAAGCTTTTAATTTAAAAGTTTACCAAATGCACATGCTAATCACTCTTAGTATGATAGAATTCAATCAGGTGGTCATGCAAGATGTTCAGCAAATATGAAGTACGAATTCACTGCTCTAATTTATGGAAGATAACATTTGTTGAGAAAAATTGACAGAAGTATCTACCAAGCTTGCATTACATGCAAGGTGTCGCATGCAATTGCGATCTTATCAAGCTCACCTTGTCCCGTGCTGCGTCTCTGCAGGTGGAGTATTTACTGAAAAAGATTTGCATGGCCATGAGCGTAGAGCTGAACTGTGTGGAGCTGGAGGACTTCCTCTCCCAGGATTCTGTGCTGCAGAACGGGTTCACGGTCTGGGCTTTCCTGGACATGATGAACAGTGGGAAACTGACAAAAGGCATCACCAAGGATTCGGTCAGCATGGCGATTGAGGAGGTGTACCGTGAAATAGTCGATGATGTATTAAAAGAGGTATCCCGTCCACATTTTCTTTAGCTTTATCAGGCAAACATTGAAATTGCATTACAATAGGAGCCCATTTCAAATTTCAAAGCATTATATGAATTTACCAAAGCATTTATGAATTTAAAATCTATAAAATACCACTTTACATTGTACCAAACATTTAGTTACTTTCTGAAAGCAATTACAAAAAATGTAAACTGCTTCAGGTGAGATATGAATTCCACTGGTTCAGGTTTTCACAGTGCACTGAAATGAATCATGTCTGCGTAGGGCTATCTGTGGAAGCGAGGGCAACTGCGCAGAAACTGGGCCGAGCGCTGGTTCACGCTGAGGCCCCACACCCTGGCCTACTTCTCCAGTGAGGATCGAAGGGAACGCAAGGGCAACATCGTGCTGGACGGGAACTGCTGTGTGGAGGTGGGTGGGAGGATAGGAGGCTATGGATGGGTTAATAAAACCAGGAGAAAGTGGGTGGTCTTGTGAGGGGTGGGAAGTTTGATACTTTTTTTAGCGACTTTGGGAGTAACTGTGTGGAGATGGGAGTTGTTTGTGAGATGGTTTTAAGCTGTGGCAGATCGATAGAGGGGAATGAGCTTGAGGCCATGCTGACCAAATCATTGTTGATCTGTCTGTATCCCCTCTTCGTGTCCCCTGGCTGACAGGTGCTTCCAGACAAGGATGGGAAGCGGTGTATGTTCTGCTTAAAGACACTGTCCAAAACGTATGAGATGAGTGCCTCAGACACCAAGCAGAGGCAGGAGTGGACTGCGGGTAAGCGAGGGGTTTAGAGGCAGGAGTGGACTGTGGGTAAGTGGGGGATTTAGGGGCCGGAGTGGACTGCGAGTAAGCAGGGGGTTTAGAGGCAGGAGTAGACTGTGGGTAAGTGGGGAGATTAGAGGCAGGAGTGGACTGCGGGTAAGCGGGGGGGGTTTTGAGGCAGGAGTGGACTGCGGGGAAGTGGGGTTTACAGGCAGGAGTGGACTGCAGGTAAGCGGGGGTTTAGAGGCAGGAGTAGACTGTGGGTAAGCGTGGGGTTTAGAGGCAGGAATGGACTGAAGGTAATCTGGGGGCTCTGTGTGCATTACCACGCCCAGAGTAACTGGTGCCAGTATGACTTGAGTCATTGAAGCAAGCCAGACATGATGCATGGATCTTACCTGCAGTTTTATAGATTAATATTTGGACGGGTGAGGGACATCTTAGCCATCCTAAGCACATATGAAGGCAGTAGTGGCCACCAGGGCTGGACTGGATTTAAAAATTGGCCCATCAGGAAAATGCCCAGCATGCCAGATGGCCTCTTCAGTGCTGGTGGCCACCACAATTGGCCTGGTGAGGTCTGAATTTCCCCTGAGTGATGATAAACACATGAGCCTCATCAGATTGTCATACAACTTAAAAATACACGAATGAAAGGCAAAAGGACATGGCGTTGTTTACTTCCCAATAATACACTTCCAGACTAGTCTAGAAGATGCTTTCTCTCCATTACATTTTACCCAAATTACACGTACCACCCCTTATCTTGATATGCATGGAATCTGCATGCTCTCTCTAGTATTCCAGTTTGCTTAAACAACCCAAATTGATGTGGTCTGGGTGAATTTGATTCTGTAAAAGGCCTTTAGTGTGTGATTGTGTGTGTGTGAGTGTGTAGCCTAAGATGGGCTGGCATCCAATTTAGGCGTTCCCAGGTCTTCAGACTCACCACAAGTTGTGCTTGATAAGGCATTCATGAAAATGATTGGATGGATAGGAGGATGGCAGTAATATGTAATTGTTTTTTCCTTATGCTAAAGTAACTAGGCCAGTGCAACAGCTGCTAACCGGTTAAGTTTATTGTATTGTTATCCATTTACTGTACCATGCAAAAGTCTTAGGCAGTCAAAAAAGTCACTGATATCTTGCTAGATTTCTATTTGAACATTACTTTGGCTCCCAGACCACTGCTTAGGGGCACCTCAGCCATTCCATGGATGCTTTATATTTCTCCAAAAGCTTAATTAATTGATTACATAATTTGTTAAATAACAAACAAACATGGGGCAGTGGTCGGTTTTTGGACTTTTGCTGGAAAAACTGGGGTGACAGAGACCTTCTGAAGTGGTTAAGCTGACATACTTTGACTGATATAATACCATAGTTACACACCAACATGAAGATCATTTAAACATCATTCTCTTTGACTGCAAATGACTTTTACACAGCACTGTACATAGCTTTGCATTTTCCTGGAGTGGAGTGCCAGTATATGAGCTGTCAGAAGCCATGAGTCCTTCAGCCCCCACTGTCCCTGTGCCTGCAGCCATCCAGACGGCTATCCGGCTGCACGTGGAGGGCAAGAGCTCCCTGCACAGGGACCTAAAGCTGAAGCGGCGGGAGCAGCGAGAGCAGCGGGAGAAGCGGCGGCGGGCCAAGGAGGAAGAGCTACAGCGGCTACGTGCCCTACAGGAGGAGAAAGAGCGCAAGCTAGCTGAGCTGGAGCTTCTGAAGGAGGCGCAGCGACAGGCGCAGGCACTCCTGGAGCAGGACGAGCAACGCAGGAGGCAGCAGCATGAGCAGATGCAGCAGACACTGGAGGTGCAGCTACGGGAGGCTGAGGAGGTGAGGGGGGTCAGGAAGCGCTGGAAGGGCACCTGCGGGAGGCTGAGGAGGTGAAGGGGGTCAGGAAGGGCTGGAAGGGCACCTGCGGGAGGCTGAGGAGGTGAAGGGGGTCAGGAAGTGCTGGTAGGGCAGCTGCGGGAGGCTGAGGAGGTGAAGGGGGTCACAAACTGCTGGAAGGGCAGCTGCGGGAGGCTGAGGAGGTGAGGGGGGTCAGGAAGCGCTGGAAGGGCAGCTGAGGGAGGCTGAGGAGGTGAAGGGGGTCAGGAAGTGCTGGAAGGGCAGCTGTGGGAGGCTGAGGGGGTGAAGGGGGTCACGAACTGCTGGAAGGGCAGCTGCGGGAGGCTGAGGAGGTGAAGGGGGTCAGGAAGCGTTGGAAGGACAGCTGAGGGAGGCTGGGAAGGTGATGGGGGTCATGAGGTGCTGGAAGGGCAGCTGCAGGAGTCTGAGGAGGTGAAGGGGGTCAGGAAGCACTGGAAGGGCAGCTGCGGGAGGCTGAGGAGGTGAAGGGGGTCAGGAAACGTTGGAAGGATGGCTGAGGGAGGCTGGGAAGGTGAAGGGGGTCATGAAGTGCTGGAAGGGCAGCTGCGGGAGGCTGAGGAGGTGGGGGAGTCAGGAAGCGCTGGAAGGGCAGCTGCAGGAAGCTGAGGAGGTAAAGAGGGTCAGGAAATGCTGGAAGGGCGGCTGAGGAGGTGAAGGGGGTCATGAAGTGCTGGAAGGGCAGCTGCAGGAGGCTGAGGAGGTGAGGGGGGTCAGGAAGTGCTGGAAGGGCAGCTGAAGGAGGCTGAGAAGGTGAAGGGGGTCACGAAGTGCTGGAAGGGCAGCTGAGGAGGTGAAGTGGGTCACGAAGTGCTGGAAGGGCAGATGGTGGAGGCTGAGGAGGTGGAGGGGTCAGGAAGCTTTAGTGGATTAATGTTTCCGCTAACTTAGCGGACCAGTTAGCTTCCTCAAAATTTAGTTCCACTTACTATAAATCCGCTAATATTTTTTCACAGATAAAGTATGGTAAAAAAAGTAAATCCTAAAATCACACATTTGTTCCTGTCTGCTATGAGCATGTCTGGTACAGTCTATCTGCCAACCTGTTGGCTGATGAAGTATAAACACAAGATGTGATTGATCGATAACCTGTCAGATTTAAGGTAGTCTGGGCTAAATGTAAGTGAACAAAGATAAAGTCCATTTAAACTGGGATTCTCTGCACTAAGTGCACAAGGGCATATATCACAAAACTAGATTTCTTGCTTAGCCGGATAACTGGTCAGATTTCAGGTAGCCTTCTTTAAATGGATTTTATCTTTGTTCACTTACATTTAGCCCAGGCTAAATTAAATACAGTAAGTAAGTTTCTACAGTAAGAAATTCTGCTTTGGCCCCTGGTTATTTTCCTTTATTTTTCGGGTTCTGATTGACAGAGCTTTAGTCCAATAAAGAGCTGAGACCCTCCTTCCTCATTCTGGGTAAATGGCACCATGTTTGTAGTCCCCAAGTGGCTTCACTGGGGACAAAATGTCAGCATGAGCCAGTCACGGAATAGGACTCCTCCGTCAAAAATGCATATATCTCGCAAACAGAGTATCTTTGAAAGAAAATTTATTCCATAGACTACACAGAATCCAATGATCTCTAATTGTTTAAGTCCTAAATATTCCCAGGTAATCAGTCCAGCCCTGTATATCTAATTGTGCGTTCCATTTGCCTTGGGATCTGACTTTCGGATTCCAAGATTACGTCACATCAGCTAAAAACTTGGAAAAACCGAGTCAACATGCGTTCCATTTGACACAGAAGTAGCAATACCATGGACCCATATGAAAAAGCAAGATTTCTTGCTTAGCCGGACAACTTATCAGATTTAAGGTATCTCAGTTTAAATGGCCTTTATCTTCGTTCACTTACATAGCCCGAACTACCTTAAGTCCGACAAATAATCCGTCTAATCATGAAATCCAATTCTAGCCCAGTTAATTGTTAGCCATTGTTAGCAATATTAATATTAGATAGCACATTAGATAACACATTACGCACGGTGCTTTTACACTCAAACACACCGTCCACTCACACGGCCATACACTCACACGCCATACACTCACACGCCATCCACTCAAAAACCATTCACTAACACGCCATACGCTCACACGCAATCGACTCAAACACCATTCACTTACACGCCATACACTTACACACCATACACTTACACGCCATACACTCACACGCCATCCACTCACACGCCATCCACTCACACGCCATACACTCATACGCCATACACTCACACGCCATACACTCACACGCGATCCACTCACACGCCATACACTCATACGCCATACACTCACACACCATATACTCACACACGATCCACTCACACGCCATACACTCACACGCCATACACTCAAACACCATTCACTCAAAAACCATTCACTCACACACCATACACTCAAAAACCATTCACTCACACGCCATTCACTCAAAAACCATTCACTCACACGCCATCCACTCACACGCCATACACTCAAAAACCATTCACTCACACGCCATACACTCACACGACATTCACTTACACGCCAGTCACTCACACACCATTCACTCACACACCATTCACTCACACGCAATACACTCACACACCATTCACTCACACACCATTCACTTAAAAGCCATCCACTCAAACGCCATACACTCACACGCCAGTCACTCACACACCATTCACTCACACACCATTCACTTACACGCCCGTCACTCACACACCATTCACTCACACACCATTCACTTACAGGCCATACACTCACACGCCATACACTCACACACCATACACTCACACGCCATCCACTCACACACCATACACTCACACGCCATCCACTCACACACCATACACTCACACACCATTCACTCAAAAACCATTCACTCACACACCATACACTCAAAAACCATTCACTCACACGCCATCCACTCACACACCATACACTCAAAAACCATTCACTTACAGGCCATCCACTCACACGCCATTCACTCACACACCATTCACTCACACGCCATACACTCACACACCATTCACTCACACGCCATCCACTCACACACCATACACTCAAAAACCATTCACTCACACGCCATACACTCAGATGCCATACACTCACACACCATTCACTCACACGCCATACACTCAGATGCCATACACTCACATACCATTCACTTACACGCCAGTCACTCACACACCATTCACTTACACGCCATTCACTCACACACCATTCACTTAAAAGCCATCCACTCAAACGCCATACACTCACACACCATTCACTCACACACCATTCACTTACAGGCCATCCACTCACACGCCATTCGCTCACTCACCATACACTCAAACACCATTCACTCACACGTCAGTCACTCACACGGGCAGTATGGGCAATGTGGCAGCTCCAGTTAGCCTCAGCATATTTTCCGGACTGTGGGGGGAAACCGGAATGCACAGACGAGGAAAACATGCAAGCTCCACATACACAGAGACTTGAACCCTGGTTCCAGAGGTGTTAGGCAACAATGCTAACCACTGCACCTCCATGCTGTACACACATAAAATTTACATTTAAAAATATGGATATATGAAAAAGTCAAAAAAGTGCCTCCAACAAACAGTGAATGAACAGTTATTGCACGCATCAAGTTGCAAAGTAAAGTCAATGAATAGCCAAGAGCAGTCGGGTGTTCAATGAGCAGCAGGTGTAATATACAGTATAAGAACAATGAATAGCCAAGAGCAGTCGGGTGTTCAATGAGCAGCAGGTGTAATATACAGTATAAGAACAATGAATAGATATATAAGAAGCAACAGCAGTTATGGTGACCTGGGCACATGGCAGCAGAAGGAGGAGAGATGACAAGGGACATGAGAACCATTTAGACTGGGGGAGAGCTGAAGGCGGGAGGGATGTCTTTGTGAAGGTGAGGAGGACGATGAGTTGAAATGGCCCTTTTCCCGGCAGGCGCGGGCCAGCATGCAGGCAGAGATGGCTCTAAAGGAGGCGGAGGCCGAGAGGCAGCGAAAACGCATCCGCGAGCTGGAGGAGATGCAGCAGAGGCTGGAGGAGGCTTTGCAGGTGGAGATCAAGGCCCGGCAGGATGAGGAAGCCTTCCGTTATGCACAGGCCAGGTACCGCGTGGGGCGTCTGTGGGGCGTCTGTGGGCCGTCTGTGGGGCGTCTGTGGGGCGTCTGTGGGCCGTCTGTGGGGCCTGTGTAGGATGTGCATGGAGCGAGTGTGGGGCATGTGGGGGCGTGTGTGAGACGTGTGGGGGCGTGCGTGAGGCATGTGTGGGGTATGGGGGGGCATGTGTGGGGGGCATGTGTGGGATATGGGGGGGCGTGTGTCGTGGTATGTGTGGGTGTGCGTGAGGCGTGTATGGGGCGTGCGGAGTATGCACGGGGCATGTAGGGGAGTGTGTGGGGCGTGTGGAGCATGCACGGGGCATGTAGGGGAGTGTGTGGGGCGTGCGGAGCATGCACGGGGCATCATGCCACCATCAGCATCTGCACAGACATGCATGGCCCTGACACAATGTCACCTTGGCCACCCCCTGACTCTCCCTGCACCTCGGATGTAGGAATTGCAGAGTCAGGGGGGTGGAGTCCAATGGTAGAATTTACGCAAGTGCCTACAGTATTATTATTTGCATTGGGCCCCCAGAATCTGTCAGGATATCCGCGTCCCTCTGACTCCCTGTGTGCAAGACAGGGACACTTACATGGGTAACACGCCGCATGGGTAACACACCGCATGGGTAACACGCCGCATGGGTAACACGCCGCATGGGTAACACACCAAAATTTCGGGACAAATGATGTGTGAAACACATGACCTTCTACATGCAGGATGGGTGACACATGGGACAGGTACTGACCAGGACAAGTTAAATGCAATTAAATGCCAAGCACACTTTATATATTGCATTATTAGTATATGGCGCGATTTTCCGTTTCACCCGTCTGTATGGTTTTACTTAACTTTTTACATAGCTACAGTTGTGGTGGTTTTGATTAAGAACATCAGCTAAACTTTAGCCACACGCATTCAGCATAACACACGGACATACCCTTTTTGTCTGTCTATATGCACACATATAAACGCCTAAAAATGGATTATAAGCAGCAGACTTCACTTCCTGCCATAAGCAGTAAGCTGGGAGCAGATGCATCTAGCTGGTCCGTGTCAGTGCTGCCTGCTGACGTTTACCCTGTGCACAACTCAAGTCACATGCAAACAGGAAAAGCTGTGACAGGAAGTGGGTCACTTCACACAGGAGCAGCCCGGCATCCTGTGTCCTCCTGCAGCTTCAGCAAACCTCCCCAGCGCTGGATAAATGTTGGCTGCTCACCTAGAACAGCACAGCCCAAAGCCACAGCGTGCTAAATGCATCAAAGTGGCTCCATGGCCGAGTGCTTTGCTGTATTACCTGGTAAATGCCATTGACTGAGGCTGGACGTGTGGCTAAACTGATGCCCAGACTTTGGTTTTCTCCTGCAGCATTTATGCTTTTCTCTCTCGGCTTTTATTGAATATGAGGCTTTAGTGAAATGCCGGCGAGTGCTAGCTACACTTACAGAGACGGCATAAACATCTCTGGCTGATCTTAGTTTGACTATAATACTATCCTAAAACACTGCATTTGGTGAACTGGCATCTGTAAATAGTACGCCATGTGCATGTGTGTGTATGAATGTGTGGCCTGTGATGGACTGACAACCTGTTCTTTCACATTGTATGTTACGCTCCCTGGGATGGACTGAGATTCTGTTCCTCCGCCGTGTATGTTATGATCCTTGGGATAGACTGACATCCTGCTCCTCCACCTTGTATATTGTGCTGCCTGTAATCGAGTGACATCCTTTCTCTCTATCTTGTTTGTTGTGCTGCCTGCGATGAACTGACAACTTGTTCCTCCGCCATGTATCTTATGTTGCCTGTGATTGACTGACATCCTGTTCCTCTGCCCTGTATGTTGTGCTGCCTGCAATGAACTGACAACCTGTTCCTCTGCCATGTGTGCTATGTTGCCTGTGATCGACTGATATCCTGTTCCTCGTCCTTGTATGTTATGCTGCCTGAGATGGATTTACATCCAGTTCCTTCGCCCTGTATTTTATGCTGCCTGAGATGGATTTACATCCAGTTCCTTCGCCTTGTATGTTATGCTGCCTGGGATGGACTGACATCGTGTTCCTCCACCCTGTAATATGCTATGCTCCCTGGGATAGACTGACATCATGTTCCTCTGCCTTGTTTGTTATGCTGCCTGGGATGGACAGACATCCTGTTCCTTGGCCTTGTATGTTATGCTGCCTGGGATGGACTGACATCATGTTCCTTGGCCTTTGTGTGTCATGCTGCCTGAGATAGGCTGCAGGCTGTCTGTGACCTCACACGCCATCCACTGTGTGAGTGAATGGTGTGTGCTGGATAAGCAGTTGGAAGATGGACGGATGGACAATATGTATTGAAGACACCTTGCTGTTCAGAGGCTTTTAAGATTTCTGGTTTAAATGAGAGCAGGCAGTTTATATAATCTCCTGAGGAACAGGCTGTGAGAAGCTCCTCTGGAAATAAGAGGTGTCTCAGCTTGAAAACAGCACCTGTACCTGGCCACACACGCTCCTGTGTTTAAAAGTAAGATGCTGTAGCAGATTTGTTACTGTAAGAGAATATAACTGAACCTCCTGGGTGTATAATCACAGTTGCTGTGGTGCTGGATAGGACAGACTTTCTGTGCCAGCGTGATGCTTGGCTATAAAACAACCACAATCCCTCAGGTTTTTACGGGATGTAGCAGTGTTGCTGGGGAAGGCTAAGATCCTGTGTAAAGAATTTCCATAATCTCCAATTGTTCAGATAAATGTCAAATTCCAATGCAAAAAAGTTATAATATAAAGAGGTTTTTTTGAGTGACTCAGTGACCGCAGCTGTGCCCACGTTTTATATACGCAGAGACTAAACAGTAAGTGGTGTCCCTTTCCGTCTGTGCCCAAGGCTGCTGACCGAGGAAGAGGATAAAATGAAGTCCCTGATGGCACTCCAGGAAGAGCAGGAGGAGTACATCCTGAAGACCCAACGGGAGAAGCAGGAGCTGAAGCAGGAGATGGAGATGAAGTCCAGGGCTCTGGAAGAAGCCCACAGGCAGCTGGAGGAAGTGCGGGCCAACCGGCACAAAGTGGACCAGGATGTAGTGGTGAGCAGGACGTGGTGGTTAACACGGTTCATATGTACTTCATGCATTTATGTGCAGGTAACAGGGTACATGTGTACGCATATGTGACTTCATGTGTGTAAGTGTGAGTGACGGGATACATGTGTACACATATGTGACTTCATGTGGGTATGTGCTAGTCATGGGGTACATGTGATCAGTGATCATTGTTGATACACTACAGTGCACAGTGCACAACAATGAAATGTTGAATGTCCTCTGCATTTGTGTATGCATGTGTGGTACATGTGTACACATATGTAACTTCAGGTGGCTGCGTACATAATTACACGTGACTTCATGTGTGTAAGTGCAGGTGAGAGGGTGTATATGTACACATATGTGGCTTCATTTGTGTATGTGCAGGTGACGGGGTATATATGTAGACTTATGTAACTTCATTTGTGTATGTGCAGGTGACGGGGTATATATATAGACTTATGTAACTTCATGTGTGTAAGTGCAGGTGACGGGGTATATATGTAGACTTATGTAACTTCATGTGTGTAAGTGCAGGTGACGGGGTATATATGTAGACTTATGTAACTTCATGTGTGTAAGTGCAGGTGACGGGTGGGGTGCATATATACAGATATTTTACAGTGTATCTGTTGATGCAGAAATTCCCATATCTCTGAATGTTACAAACTTCTGTGCGCTGCATGTAGTGTGAGCAGGTTGCCATGGTAATGATGTGAGCAGCTTCCTGTTGAGGTGACTGCAATGGAAGCTGAGTTTCATGCTTAAAATTTTCAGTTATGAAATGAGTTATAGACTTAAAGAAAGCTTCTTACTACACTATCATTTATTACATGTAATATATTTCTATGTGACCAATGGATATAAAATATTCATGTATTTTATACATTTTCGATCAAAATATGTTTTTAATGCTATATATTTCCCAGGTTTAAATCACAAATGACATACTGCTATTATAACTTTATGAATACTGTAAAATTGCTATACACCTATAAATCACTGGGCAAAAAACTGCATTTTCATTTCTGTGCACAGATTTCAAAGCATAATATAACATTTAAAAAAGTATAAATAGTGTAAAATAGTGGAAGCTAGTGTTTATCTGATTTCCATAAACAGATTTTTAAAAATGTTTTTCTTAAATGATAAATTCAGCATCTCCTTAATTGTCCTGAATAATTTTCACAGATATTAAATTAAATAAATTACCTTATTTTCTGGCACAAGCATGTCACAATAAGTGATCAAAAACAACCAACCAGTCACCTGAAACATAAAACTGCCACAACTGCCTCGCAGTCTTCCATCATAGCTCCGCCCTTCTTACTCTATCCCGCTTTCTGATAGGCTGCCCAGAGGAAGCTCCGCCAAGCAAGCACCAATGTAAAACACTGGAACGTGCAGATGAACAGACTGATGCACCCCATTGGGCCTGGAGGTATATCTCACTTTTTCAAAGCTTTCCTGGCTCATGTTATACATGCAGGATGCTGAAGCTCTTATACTAAAGTGCTAATGCATTCTGTGCTCCTAGCTGATGCCTCTTATTTCTCTTTACTTGCGCTGCACGCTTTGCTTTTTTTAAGCAGTATTTTGCTGTTACTGTGGCATTAGTACAGAACCATAGTAATTATCATTATATTAAACCACTCTACATGCTTTTCCTAGAATTAGTATTTTTTCCTTGTACTTAAGACAGCTTAAAACCTTCGACTTTCATGATCTCTTAGGTTGGATAGAGGAACAGATACACACTATATTATGCTGCAAACATTATATTACAACCAGTCCTACTTGATGATCTGGAAACTTTTGAGAAATGGTCGAAAATTCAGCAAGATTCAAAAGTGAAATGTGTAGATTTAGAAAGTTGTTCCACCAGTTTGCTTTGTGAGGGAGTCACCAGCAATCACAGGCTGTAGAATTAGAGAGCTGCAAGAGATTGTTGCTCCACTGTCTAAACTTTTGAAATTCTTCAGTATAAGAAGAGAGGGGAGTTGAGTTTGTGGATTGAGCCTGACACACAAAACACGGGTATCAGAGGAGCCGTGCCACATCATCAGCTGCCCGACAGCCTCATCCAAAGAGCCGGGCATAGACAAACACACACCCATTGTCATAACTGTCAATTGTGGCCACAAAAAATGCACTGTCCACTCACAGTCATGCTTACAGATGCATGTGCACACATACAAACACTACACTGGAAGACACATGTTCACTAGTGTCCTCTGCTGACACGTTCTGCTGCATGCATTCAGTGTCTTGTGCTGCATGCAGCCAGTCTCCTGTGCTGACACACCCTGCTGCATGTGGCCAGTATCCTGCGCTGCATGTGTGCTCCCAGCTTTCTCCATGGAGACCCTGGTGAAAAAGAACTTTATTAAGTCCCCCCAGGTTTTAAACAGTGGATGCCCAAGGTCTCTATCCACCAGCAAGCTTGAAGACTCCTCATATGACACGAAGAGTGCCTTTGAATGACCTCTAAGAGTTCAGCAGTAGTTTTGCTATTTTAGATTGAGTTAATTTTGCCACCCCACCAGACCTGGCTATTCATATTTTAAATCTCATATACTATTCATAGTATAAATCTCTCTCTCTCTCTCTCTCTCTCTCTCTCTATCTATCTATCTCTCTCTCTCTCTCTCTGTTTGTCTCTTTCTGTGTCTCTCTGTCCCTGCCTCTCTCTGTTTGTCTCTATCTGTCTGTCTGTCTCTCTCTCTGTCTCTCTCTCTCTCACTGTCTCTTTCCATCTCTGTCTTTCTATCTGTTTCTCTCTCTCTATCCCTTTCGCTCCATCTCTCACTCTTCCTCTCCATTTTCGCTCACCATTACTTGCCTGATTGCAGAAAAGAGGCCGTCCATCACCTCCAGCATCCGCATGCCCAGCCAGCGGGACCCCGGGCTGCGCCTGCGAAAGTCTGAGAATGACGGGGAACAACACGACAGGACCAACCCGAATATGGAGCAGGATGCTGGGAGAGAGGCGTCTGAGAAGCGCCTCTCACAGACCTCTAACGGAGATATGGACATGCCCTGAAGGGGCCGGGCCAGTCTGCAGAGCACAAGGGGTTTCCTGCACGTGCTCCTTCTTGGAGCTGTGTAAGGAATTACCACCACCGTATGAGTCCACACAGGAGACGGATTGCACGAGGAACCAATGAGGAACAGACTTGGGTGGGGCTGTAATGGTTAAAACATGCAGGTTCGAGTCCTGGTAGGAGCTCAGATATTTTACTTGAGACCCATTTCATTTCACATAGCTCTATGAACTGTCAAACATGCAAAACCAGAATAAAATAAGTTGTTTTGTGTAAAACCTACTAAAAAGCTGAATTATGTTTTGGAAAGCATGCCATTGAGCTAATCAGGCATCAGGAATCTCTTAAGTCAAACAGAATTTATCATAAAATTTATCTCTGACATACTTTTTTTTTATCACTATAACACTACAGTGATGATACAAAGTATGGCACCATTCATTCAATTATGCCTATTTTTCTAATGTAGTAAATATTGTGCAAAATATTGAAAGAACTGGCTGAGTTTTCAAGAGGGTAGTTCAGTAATATTCCTGCTGTTTCTTATTGGTTGCTCTCTGGCAAAGTGTATGGTTCTTATTTCTGTACAGTCCTGATATTGCAGCAAATTTCCCCCCACTGAAAAGAAGAAAAATTTAGTAACAAGAAGTTAGTGTTAGTTTCTTTGTAGCTTCCACTGTAGTGCAATGACTGGATTACTAGTTTCTAACATTATCGTTACCTGTTTGCTTTGGCAGTGTTTTTGACTCCTCTTTGTATTTAGCTATCTGGCTCTGTGAATTATGAAAAAGCTCTTTCATTTACTGGAATCCATTCATAGCACATTGTTGCTGATGAAAAACATGTTTAGTCTGTTTTGATTAGAAAGAAATATGTGAAGCAGAAGATATTGTTTGTATTGTTATTATTATGGTTTAAATTTTAATTCCGCAAACCAGAGATTTTTTGTAGAAAATTATGTAACCAGATCATTGTACCTTAAATCAATTCATGTAAAACTGAAGGTCAATCATAAAACAAATTGTTATATAAATTGTTTCTTTCAACATGCATGTTAAGTTTAATTTCTCAATTAATGTATTAAATGTTGTAAAAAGGGCTGCAAACAATTGCAACATTTGCGTCTGCATGTTTTTTTGTATGGTATAAATCCTAATTCTTACATTTCCTTATTTAAACATTCTGACATCATGTTAAAAATCTGCAACAGGTGTCTTCAGCACTCTGGCCCAGGTCAAATGGAGCTAGCGGTCAGCCAAGATTACGTTGGACAGATGCCAGACCTTCACATCACAGACACTAAAGGCAATTCAGGGGCACAAATCCACTTCGTTATATTTAGGTTACAGGATGAAGAATGCAAAGACAAAACCATTGAACCATTGAAAACCTGAGCATTTTTACCATTTTTACCGACCCCTGGCTGATTGGTTTGGAACTGAACTCAGAAGCTACATTCCAGAGGCACAGTGCGACTTTGTCACTATGCCGTCTTAAAGGAAATCTTTTATCTTATCAAAATTCAAAATGTTTTAGGTTTGACCTTCAAAATGGGACCCGTTTGCCAGAGAGTGGAAAGACGCTGCAGGCATGCAAGCGTGTTGTGAGAGAGAGACTAGAGATTTCTGGAGTTTCTTCAGACATCAGAGGCTTTGTGGTTGTTCGCTTCACTTCCTGTTTCCTCTGTCAGTTAGCACAGTTCTCCAAGTGTAAGAGTCTTATCATGATGAACAACATGCTCAAGAAAAGAAAAATATATAGATTTTCTGCTAATTTTACAGGAGTTTCTAAGTTGTGTGCAAACAGTGTTCTTGGTTTTTTAAGTGACATCATTTCAATAATTAAACTTTTTAGTTTAATTCCTGGGCTAGAGGTTTCTGCTCCATCAACAATTTTCATATCTGCAAGGAGATTAAAATGGGATATTTAATAAAGTTAAGGTGACTTAAATTAAAAGGGGACAGCCTCAACAAAGAAATGCTTCACTCATTTCCTTTACGATTTTGAACATACCAATAAAAAGCTGTCTGGTGTTGTGCGGGCTGCCCCTGGTTATTGACCTGCTGGTCTTACAAATCTAGACAAACAGAGACACCTACTGGCAGTTAAGTTTCAGTACGATATTATTGGATGGAACTTGGATATTTCAAATAAAATGGACCAGCTTATTTATTTTTGCATCAGAGTTGATTTATACATTTCCCTTAATATTTCTGCATCCAGCCAAGCCTTTGCCTGTATTGTGTGCATGTGTGCCCTGTGACGGACTGCCAAGCTGTTCAGGACGGACCCCAGCTTTGTGCCTTATGCTGCTTGGGCCTGGCTCCAGGCCCCCTGCCGGAAGAGGGATGTTTAAAACTGACATTGGAACAGAATAAGAAGCCGAGCTACGATTTCACGCAATGTTAGGTGAATATGAAGATTAACTTCATAGCTGACAGAAAATTTATATAGATCTCTCAAAGCATCAAAACAAATAAGGAAGGGTAATCTGTGGGGTTTTAGTATTGGAGCATTAATAAAGAACTCATTAATGCCTCTTGTATTTGCTTAGTTATCTGATATTTCAATGAATGCAATTGAGAATTTTTATCCATTTTTACAATCACACATGAGTTTACAGCCCCCCTACACATCCCTTTATCCTACCAACAGCAGCAGGTGGCTCAGTGGGCTAAACTTGTGTGCTTGTAATCAGAGAGTCGCTGGTTCGAACCCAGCTTCGGTGGGTACTTGAGCTAGGCAGCCCTATGTGCACTTTTGTCGGCAGTGGTGGCTTAATGTCAGCAGTGGTGGCTTAATGGTTAGGGAAGCGCACTTGTAATCAGAAGATGGCAGGTTCAAATCCCCGACCAGCAAGACACCACTGAGGTACCCTGAGCAAGGTACCGCCCTCAAGCACTGCTCCCCGGGCGCTGAATTAGCTGCCCCCTGCTATGTCACGAAAGTCACATATGGGTTAAATGCAGAGGACACATTTCGTTGTTGTGCACTGGGTGCTGTGGTGTGTCAACGATGACAAATAATCACAAAATAAAAAAAAATAAACAAAATACCTGGGGGAACCTTTCACAATGGATTTAAAGCACTTGTTGCTGTTAAATTCGCATGCTACATTTTCACCTATCGTTCGCATTTTTTACAACATTTAGAGCCATTTAGAGCATAGCACGGCATTCCACTATTTGATGATTTACAATTATTTTCATCCAACTCCCCAGGACATGCCCAGCTTGCCAGCTCCCCAGGAGGGGGCTGAACTCAGCAATAGACATCCTTGCCTTGTTTTCAAGCTTACAGCTTAAAGTTTGCCCCAGTATTGGAACACGTGTCTTCTGGGTGATGTCAGCTGTGTTTTTAATAGACATAGATAAGAGTGTTGTTTAAAAAAGAGGAAAAGGTATCTTATTGGTTTAAGCTGAGACATTGTTAGCATATGTGTGACCTGGGAAGCACAGTTGCCTCACATACTCCGTGTTGGATGTTTGAATCCCACCTTCGCTCTGTGCGTCTTACCCACATGGTCCATGGACTCTTCCTACAGTCCAAACATGGTATGATTATGTGTATATGATGTGGCTTCTGCTGCCTTGGATAGGCTCCAGGTCCCCCCGCCCCCCATAGTACCATCCTTGAAATTTTGGGTGTTTCACAGTTCTTTGCTCACACGTCTTACAGTTTTACACTTTTTCTTTCGCACATATTAATGTTCATACTGAAATAAACCAGGTTTATTACTCGCATCAAACACAACAAGATTTGTAAAGGCTTGATCTCCTAGTCAATCCGTTTTAAGTCTCACCTCCCCTGATTGCCTGGTAATTAGTCTTAAATATTCAGCCTAGAAGCCACTTCGGCAAGCAAAGGAGCTCGTCCTAAACCACAGCTAGCGGTACAGGCATTTTTCCTTTCAGTATCAAATCACATCGTACATTTTACACAAATTAATTACTAATACACACAAGCGTGTAAACTACTAAAGCTTGTAAAAATAATAATAATAATAAAAGCTACAGATAAAATGGTTGTCTGTTAAATCTAGTTTAATCTGTCAAAAGAAGTAAGTCTGATACCCTTGTATGGCTTTAAAGAACCGATGCAGATAGCGGCGCGTGCACCTTTTCAACAAATGTATTCACAAGAAAATTGACATAAAATCAATCAACCTAAAATTAATCAAGAATAAAGCTGCTGTTTAGAAATTCATTTATGATCTATTTTATATAAAGAAAAGAAAGAAGATTAAAAAAGAAAACGCCTGATTTTGCTACTTTATATAATAATATATGTACAAAAAAGAAGCTGTAAGTAGTATCCTGCGTTTATTTAACGTGGGAAAATGTAAATCACTTACAGTATGGACATTTTTCTTCACCATTACGTGTTATATCATAGCATAAAATATGTAAATGACAAAAATGCCACATGTGCACAAATACCAAACAAAAGTGAAACTCGACTCGTTGATTATGGGACACAAACTACAGAGTCCCCGAGGCAAGTACATACGGTACGCCTGCCCTGGGTCCGAAATGGAGCGCTGCCTAATTAATAATTAAAAAGAAGGAATGAACGCGCTGTGACGACATGCAACAACAGCTACGTACGACTGTCACGCCACAGCGCGGCACGCTGTGCGTGAGAGCGAGCGAGCGCCTGCCTGTGACAAACAGCGCTGGGGCTCCTGAGAGGCACGGGGGCGAGAGGCCGACCGCAAAAATACAACTTGCAATATCGTTATCATAGCTTTTTTAAAAAGTAATTTTCTCTCTACAGTAACTTTATGTAAACGTCAGCGTCGCGGGGACTGGCTAGGATCACTGCAGGAGTGACATAGCGACGGGGGAAAATCTGAACGGACAGCACTGCTGCGCGGAGAAGATAGCGAGTTCTGGGGGAGCGAGGATTAGGGGCGAAAGTCGCTATGAATTAAATTATGCAGCTATCATCGACGCGGCGAGTCGACTCTGCAGAATAAACCACAGGAAACGACCTGTCCTCGGGGGGAAAAGGGAAACTTTTCGGAAGGAGAGAGAGAAGGTAACCCCCGAACGCCGTCGCTAGCGGTCGTTAGCTAGCCTGTCTCCGAGGGGGGAGAAAGAAAAGTCCGTAGCGCTACTAATACCAGCTAGCTAGCGACTACTCCCCACGTCCTGGACAAGCTGTTCACCTAAATGCTGCCATTGTAACCAGCACAGTCTTACATAAGGTCTCTTTGTACGTTTGCTACGAAATGTTATTATTCCATGGGGGGGCTGGGAGTGACGGTGCTTGGGGGGAAGACTACATGTGTGGGATTTGGGGTACGTCCAGTTTTCGGTACTATGTCGAAAAGTGTTGACTCCTTCTCGTTCCTTTTAAAATTGAAATACAATTTCATGAATTGGGCACGGTGGAAGACGCGGTGTTTCTGCGGAGTTTTGTGTGGGGTGTTTATTGGCATGTGGAGTTACCTGGCTTCCGTCGTGCCGCATCTGTTGTTTTTTAAAGTTATTGTTTAGCCTGTTATTTACCATCGAGTTAATATTTTCGAGTAATTTGCAAACCCGTACTGCTGAGTATGGGATTTGTGGAAGTTCAAGTTGGAGCCTGTGTTTGTGTGTGTGAGTGAAATACTCTACGTCGTCCTGTAGTCACTGTCAAAGGCAAGACTCAGAGATGAATAGTTGGAAGTGTCCGATCAAGAGAATATTTATCTGCTTTCGCGAACATTGAAATTAACGTTGTAGAAAACCTAACAAACTACTTGTGGCCGGTATCTGCCTCCGGTTGTGCGTTTATTTTGGCATCTTGGGATTAATAGGCTGGTTCCACAGAACAGCTGGGAGGCATGCTTTAAAGCGCCAGGTAACTTCACGATAACGGTAGCCGGCTGTCCAAGTACATGTCCAAATACTTTGGAAGCAAAAATGGGGGAAAAGAAGGTGTGCGCGATCCAGGGCTCGGAAACGAGATAAACACGCCTGATAATGGCGTGTACGGTTGACCTTGAGTGGAGCCCAGGAGTGGTTGCTGTTGAAGTTTCGAACTTTTGCCGTGATTTCTCTCTCGCTGATGAGAGACGTGTGTGTGTTTTGTTTCTCAATTAGTTTTATGTGCAAGACTTTTTGACGCAGAAGCCGCTTTCATTTTGCACACCGTCTCATGTCGTACTCCAAGGTGCGGGCGAAAGTTGTAGCTGTACCTCCATCATTTGGTGAATTTTTTATTTTATTTTTTTTAAACTTAAATGATTGTTGCTTGATGAGTTGCACGATATTGATTTTCCTTCATATACTTTATCGAATATAATATAGATATATAATTAACCATGCCTTGAAAGTTAGGTCCCCCCACAACTGACACTTTTAAAGAAATGCTTTAATGCCCGTGCATGTACCGTGTGTTGCCAGTTTATATCAAAATAATATATATGTAATTCACCCTCCCATGTAACACGATTTTTTTCAGCTAAATCTTAATTGTTACATCCAAGGTTGAGATAAATGTGATTTCTCTTATTGGTGTTGTGGTAGAAATATTATAAATCAACCTGGATGAAAAAAAAAATGCATTAAAAAATGAAAATAAAACGAATACAATAAAAAAGAAAGATGTTTTTTTTTTTGGTGTGGGTTTAATTATTTGAATAAGGAAAAACTCTTCATTTTCTCATCCCTGTGAAAAACAGGTCTTGAGAAAATGCTTTTGAATAATGACCTGGGCTGGCTGTTTGGGCTCAGTCAAGGCAGCTTGAGTTAGATCTATGTTAGCTGCACGTTCATACAGTGGTCACACTGACTTGGAGAGGTTCGCTGATGTCCTGTAGTTTGTCTAGCTATGGTTTTTGTCTTGAACAGGTGGGTTTCCCTGCGGATATCTTCAGGAAGTTCAGGTCACTATGCATGCTAAGGCAGGTCATTGTCACGCATCTGCCTTTTTTAGAGATGTTTGGCAGGTCTCTCAACTCTGACACACACAAGTTGTGTTTAAGCAGAGCAGTGCAAAAACCTTCCGAAATTCTGAACACATTATCTTTTCTGTGAAAATCTTAGGGTGAGTGTAATTATTTTTTCTTTAGTTATTTATCAGTGTAACAGTGTTTTGTCTATTTTGTGGGGAAAAAAGCTGTATGCTTACTTGTTTCTTCCATTCCAAACCTTGAATACAAGACAACTTTTTAATGTAATTCTCCCTCCCCAATTAGATAGATTATAGTTGTTTAGCATGGGCTTTGCAGGTTCCAACAAGTGCCCACATGTGAATTTGGTAAATAATATTGGAGTTACACCCATTTCTGTAAAACAGGCTTTATCAGACTTTCTGCAATACTAGTTTTAGTAAGAGCCGGTCAATGACAAAAACAAAATTGGAAGTGTGTAAGACAATGAGGAGCCCAGTATGCAGTGGGAGCTGCTTTGAGTAGTTTTCAGGGGAAAAAATCCTGGTTGTTTAGACAAACCATAGATTTTGGGGAATCACCAATCAAATGAGGTCAATAAATCATGAAGTAGGGCTGGAGCTGTAGAGAAACAGGAGTGGGAAACAGGTAGTGTTTAAGAAGATGCATCCCTGGCAACAGAAACTGGTACTCTGTCTGTAGTGTAGCTTTAAGGAATGGGCCGTAACATCTTTTTGTTACTCCTGGTCTTTTGTTGTCATTGGTTGTAGCATATAATGTACTTTGTTTGTAATAGTGGAACATGCGTTTAGGGTACTTATTAATATCAGAGAACCGCAACAATCACAAATGTAAGGTAAACATGGAGTTCTAAAAACATGTCTGCACATGTGTACTTGCATACGACGATAGACTTCAGTGCCTGCCATCCTATTAGGTGAACGTTCATGGTGTGAAGTGCACATTTAATACACTCTGAATTACTTTAGTGCAGCTGCTGTTGTCCTGCCGCACAGTTCCCTTCAACCAGCCACTGATTTATGCTCAATGTAGTCATTTAATTTTTAAATAATCATTTAAGTGAAACATTAAAGAGGACACTAACTGCTTAGCCTGAGGACATTTAGGGGATTCGTTTGCTTTGCAGTGAGCTGGAATGCATTCTGTGTGATGTGTGTGCCCCATAACAGCTGTCACCCCCTCCTGCCATTTGTAAATAGTGTCTCACCCTATATTGCCATGGTACCTGTTGGCAGGGGGTTTTAAAATGCTGCTGATTTTGCATTGTCCACCACTCGTGCATGGGGCTAGCCTCTTAGATCCCAGGGGGCACCCTCTTTTCCTGGAAAGCCTGCTGGGCGCGCTGCCATTGCCCTGGCAGCTTACCGGTCTCAGTCTGTCAGCTGGCCACTGCATCAGGACAGAATCACTCACCCTGTTACCATAATTATCTCAAGTCCTGTATGGACTTGGGTGGAAACAAATGAAAACAAATATTTGCACATTGCCCACTGAATGTCATGAATTAGAGTTTTGAAGCCCCAAGAAACCTTCCACCTCAAGTGTGTGTAAGAAGCATGGGCCAAAGTGGCTCTTGTTGTCAGTTTGATGGCTAAGTTAAAGTGATTCAGGTTTACTCTTTTCTGCCTGGGAGTTGATGGGGAAAGGCCAGGTCATGTGAAGTGTGCTCTTTCTATCAACGGCCTGTTTAAGTCCAGTGCATGCAGCCCTCGTAGTTCCATGAAAGTGTGATTTGATTGCAGAAGAGGGTAGCAGCCACAAGTGCATACATCAATTGGTACACTCATTGTATGATTAGTGTCCCTCCCATTTAACAGTATTGTTATTTGTTTGGGTGTGCTTTCTGTCTCTGCCCCTTCTGTGGGGCAGTAAAATGTATCAGTGACCTGGGGACCTTTTGTCCCTTTTCTGATTCCAAGTACAGTATCTTCTATTGTATCAGTGGATATAACTTAGGGATTCCGGTTCTTTGTAATAAACAATTTTAAAAGTCTGTGAAAACTGTGTGTGTTCGTGGTTTTCTTTTTTTTAAGTTGAGTAAGACTTCAGTGCACTGGCACGCATTACTCTGCCTCTTGAGGCAGTCGTCCTATCTCAGTTTAGCTCAGTTTATTTTTATATAGTGCTTTCCCCACACGGGTGCCCCACAGTGCATATGATCTTGTGGCAATATTACAAGTTAAAACAATTAAAATTAGTAACAGCATCTTGTCATACTCACAGTAAGGAAAGAGGTAGAAAACAGCAGAAAAGGAATAAATGGGTCGGGACGTAGAAGAAAATATGACCCCACCCCCCTCTGGCATGGTAACCTTATAAAAGTAGGAACGAAGCTTTGGTCAGCAGTGGGATGAAAATGATCTAACGTGTGTTTGGGCTGTGGGCCCAAAAAGTCGTCCCAAGGAAGTGCAGCACTGTGCCAGCCTCCCCTCAGACACCAGCCCACTGTCATAACTTGTCCTGCTAGTTCTTTCCTCGGCAGGTCCTCTGCATGCCCTTGCAGTCCCATCAGTATTGGAGTAAAAGTAGGGCTGAATGATTTATCGATTTCAAATCAGAACCACGGTTAGCAAATTGCAAAGGTTGCGATTCAGGATACGCATTATACAGCACATCTGACCCACGGTTTAAAACTGTTGTGTGAACAGTTTTACAGATTTATGCCATCCTCCTTGTCTCACCAATCAGACATGCTGTACTCCTCGTGTGCCAGTCATGCTCACCAATCAGACGTGCTGTGCTCCTCGTGTGCTCGTCATGCTTACCAAACAGAAGTGGCCCACGACGACTTGCCCACAAACAACAAACACGTGAAACCCAAGGAAAATGTTTCATTGGCGTTGTGAAAATGATTCTGAGCTATAAGTGAAATACCTTAACTATTTCTTGGTCAGAGATTGTTTACAGAAAGGTCCTCTTATTACGGGTGCAAGCAGCATTAGCTGATGATCCCTGTTTGTTTTTCTTACTGGAATAGTTTTATTTTTATTTATCACTTTGTTTAATAATAGTAATTATTTTATGTTTGTTATGTAAGATTAACAAGGTTCTTAGCAAGGATTTAAAAATAATAAATCTGTTACAGAATATTGAACTGAAGCTTGACTTGAAAAATTATATTGCAAATCAAATTGCAATT